AGTTAGCAGACAATGTTGGGGCACACCCCATCGGGTTCAGTGGCAGGCTGTCTGCATGAAGGTCCGCCCTGGATAGGTTGTCTATGGCAGGGGTAGCCAAGGGGTCTAGCAGTACCTGTGGGTCCATGGGGCAGCCACTGAGATTCACGTGGTTGTGCATGTTCATGCTCACCTTGATTGACTTTCAAGTGGGGTGGGATGTTTGCAGTGGTGCCAGTGGTTCCTTGCTCTGCCTAGTCTCTTTGATGTTATGTCATTGAGGGGGGATTGATGACCAAGAGAATTTGCTGGAGCCTCTCCTGCCATGTCCTGACTGGTCTTTGAGCTGCTCCAATGAACTGGGCACCAGTAGATAGTGGAGAAGTTGATGACAGGAGGCCCACTGGGGTGTAAGTAGATGAGATGTCAGGGTGCAATACCTGCTCTGGAGGTGGCTTTGCCTGGGTATGTTTCTTTTGTGGGGAAATCCTACCCTTGCAAGTGTTCATCCTTATAGAAGGCTCATTGGGGTTAGATATGGTGGGGATATTCATCCCCTGAGGAAATAAGTGGCCTTCAAGCGTGCTCTTGGGCTGAGAGAGTTCAACTAAGGCCAGTAACTCCTGCCTTAGTGCCTCTAGCTTCTTGAGCATCAGGATCTGATTCTCCCGTGGTAGCGCTTTGAACCCATCAGTGGCCTCATTAGGCAGAGCTGCACTGTCAATATCAAACTGTAGTAGCAGTTCCCCAGGGTCAGGACAAGTGGCAGAACTGTAACATATAGGAGGTATTAGGGACATTGGCACAGTCTGGGGGCACTCAACAGTGTGCTTCCAAGGAATGGGCTCTGAGATCGGAGTGTCCTCAGAGTTCTCCATAGGCAGTGTCTCCCTCAGTCCAACTTCTTCAGTGGGAGTACCAATTGTTTCCAGTTGTTCCAGTGTTTCAATTAAGAATCTGGCTGGCAATACGAGATGCATCAGATCTACCGATGTGTCTGGTTCAGGAGTGGTCTGACCCCTTGAGGGGGTCTTTTGTCCATTTGGAAGACTGGGTGCCATAGACGCCGGGAGTAGATTTCCCAATGCACCAGATGTAGACTTAGGTATTGGGAGATCAAGAGGAGAGTCATTACAAAGTTCCTTACTTTCCCTTTTTCCTTTGTCTTTTCTGATGCCCTGGGTACTACTTTAACTGGGACAGGATAAGTGAGCTTCCACGAAGCTCAGGATGAGAAGATTTTAGCTTTAATAAGGAGCTTCTGATGGTGTCAGTTGCTGCTTTTAGTTCGGATATCAATGATGGGGCACCTAGGCTTGTAACAGATGAAGAGTCAGCTCTGTTGCTTGCACTCTGGAAGCCGTTAGATCAGAATTCACTATTTCAGACACAGGCATATATGCTATTATCAAGCACATCATTCCCATACCTCTCACTGAAAGCAAGTTGCCCAGTGACAGCAAAGAGATGCTTTCAGTGAAGGATAGATGGCTTTCTCCAGTCCGCCAGCTTGGTCAATAGAAAGCTTATTGTCTCTGTGGCAGAAGCGAGTTTTCTTCAATCATCAGATGATTGAAATTGTTGCTGATTTATCTTTATGCAGACTTTCTTTTTCCATTTCTGTTTTCTTAATAAGTAAATCCACACCTGGTAAACTCATACAGACTGGTTTCAGACGGGTTCAGTCTGTTATGATAGTGTATTGCCGATTACCCCACCATGTGTGAGAGAAAAACTGATCGTATTAAGAGCCTTGTGGTGCAATAGTTAACCTGCAGTACTGCATCCAAAACTCTACTCACAACCTGGGTTCAATTTCATGGAGCTGGCTCAAGGTTCACTCAGCCTTCCATCTTTCCAAGGCTGGTAAATTGAGGTCCAATTCGCTGGGCGGGGGAAATGTTTAGCCTACATAATTAAATTGTAAACCACTCAGAGGGTGCTTTAAATGCAGCAGGGTGGTATATAAACAGCACACTTTGTGTTTTTTATGGTGGCAGGATTTTCTGATTATTTTGTTTTCCAAATACATTTGTTTTGTTTTTAACTTTTCTCAGTTTGAGAATCCTAATCACCATGTAGGTCAGCCTTCCTCAATTTGAGTTCTTCTTATGTTTTTGGCCTGGACTTGCTAGCGTTAAGCATGCTGGCAGAAACTGTTGGGAACTATAACCCAAAACATCTGGAACCCAGGTTGGAAAAGGTGATCACAGTAGGGGGAAATATCAGGCACTAAAACTGATAGTTGAACCTTTTTAACCACCCTCCAAAAATGTGCCTGCTACTTTTGGCAGAATGCTGTGTGAGCAAGACAGACATGTCCATTACAACAAAAATAATAAAGAGTTCTTGTGGCACGTTAAAGATTTTATTGGCATAAACTTTTATGGACGGCCACCTGCTGACAGAATGCTGATGTCTTGATCAAAGAGTGCCATTTTAGTCCATAACTTTCAGCCTCTTGACCTGAAGCATGTTTGGCATCCACAAACAGATTATTTTCATTCAAAAGTCTTGCTATTATAACCCAGGGATTTTTGGGGGGAGGACTAGTTCCCATTTCACACCATCCCTTTGCGAGCATTTCTGCTGCATGTGTGGCAGATAAGGAGATGCTGCTTATGGAAACCTGGGCTTCCTTGCAGCATCCATGCAAAACATGACGTGCTGCCTTCAAATTGATCAGCTGTGACCATGTGCAATTGAGATTCATCTGTGTTTCCCCTTGCTCCCCCATATGAATTTTCCATAGCTTCACACACTCAGGGTTGTGATAGCTCCTCTACATATGAACCGGACTAGTAGCATTTACAGGAATGTTTTTATTCAGTTGTCATCATATTTGCACAACAATTCTAGAAATAATATAAAAGTTTTCATGCCCTTAGTGAAAGGCATTTCTTCTGATAAACCTGAAAGCAAATATTTTCATAAATTGCTTACAGAACTATGTAATCTGGATTAGATACTTTATATGCACTGATTATTTTCATCAAGGAATTAGAATCATGATTTTCATGAAGTAAATTCTGGAACGTACTTTTTACAGAACAGAATTACAGCCACTTATTCTTATTGTAACATTGTAATAATAAATATAAGGGTGTGTGAGAGTAATTCTTTTGTGATGACATTAGAAATATTTCTCATTTTAAGATCAGAGTCTTAAGATTTATTAATTTACTTACTTGCTTGCTTGCTTGCTTGCTTGCTTGCTTATTTATTGGATTTGTATCCCGCTCATGTAGTGGCAAGCCACTACCCTGGGTGACTATAATAAAGTAACATAAATTATCAAAAAGAACTAAAACAATAAACATACAAAAACAAGAGACTACCCTAAAAACCTCCACTCTAACAGAAATCACTAAATTTCAAGAGGACAAAATTAACTGAATCAGGCATTAGGCAATAAATCAACACAATCAACCCCAGCATGATATTATCTCGTAAATAAAATCAAGGGTTAAGGTTTCCAATGGCCTGAAGCAAAGAGCCAAGTTTTAATTTGCTTCCTGAAGCTCAAGAGGGTGGGACCAAGACACACCTCTACTGGAAGGACCTTCCAAAGCAAGGCAGCCAAGAAGGCCCAGTTTCTAGTTGACGACTTCCAGGCCTCCTTTGGAGTAGCCACCCACAACATCAGTGATTGAGAGGTGGGAGTGACACAGGAGGTTGATCTGATAAATTGGTGCTCTGCCAAGTAATAAGGTCCTACATCATAAAAAGCTTTGTAAGTTAACATTAGCACCTTGGCCTTGGCCTGGAAGCATAGTGGCAGCCAGTGCAAGTGGGCCAGGACAGGTGACAGGTGACCAAATTTCGATATACTGTATCAGTGAGCAACCTGGCACCCTCATTCTGCACTAGTTATAGCTTCCAAACTGCCTTCAAAGGCAGTCCCATGTAGAAAGCGTTACAATAGTCCTTGAGATTACCATTGCATGAATCAAAGATAATAGGGATTTACTTGCTAAAATCCTTTAGCCTAGCTAGAGTAGCCCATTTCAGGCACTGGAATTTACAGAGGAACTCACCAAATCCCCGAATCTAGTGCCACTTGCTATGCAAAGCAATATAACTTCAGCCATTAAGTGGATTTGAAAACAACTCACTAGTGTAATTCCTATGTATCCTCTCACTGTGCAGAAAGAGCTTATGTTTTTGGATACTTCCATGAATACAGTTCCCCTTTTGTGCTCTGAGTGTAAATATCAATTCCATATTGTATTTCTGGTAAACAAAAATTGTGTAGCCTTTTTTTCCAGGGTCAGGAATATGCTTCAATTGTTCATTGTCAAATCTACATTTTACAAGGTAGAAAATCAAAAATGGTAGGCCTCTTGCACTAACAGTATTTTATAAACTTTTCTTGCATTTTCACTACAGTAATAGTAACTGAACAAGTACTATGAATTGAAGCTATATATATTCAAAAATTAGGAAAAAGGATTATTCCTATAGTCAAAACCATTCCAATAATTTGTTTTAGATTATAAAAATAGATTAGAACAACAGAGGAGGACAAACAAAAGATCTTTCTCATAAGATAGAAGAAGGCAAGGGAAATTTAAACCTAAATTAGGTATGCTGAACGATCAACAGGGGAACATAGTATCTGGCCAGGATAAAGTAAAGTAAATATGAAAACAGTATACTGAAAAGCTGTATTGAAGTGCTACCAGGATCAGAGAGAAGAAGAATCGTGTGATTAAAAAATGCAATTCTAGAAATGGAAGAAATGGAGGCTAAACAAAACCTTTTAAAATGTTTTAAACTATGCATAAGATTTTCCCCCTTAGCAAACAATTTGTAAAGGCAAGAGAGATCATTTAAAAATAAACCAAAAATATGCATACTAATAAGATGGCACTCTGGGTCAAGTATCCCAATGGGGTACTAAATTATCCAGTAACAGACTGTTTATTGAAGGGGAAATTTTCTTACCTCCTCATAAAGTAGCATATATTTTCACTCTTGAATAACTTACTACTTGCTTTGTTTGTTTGTTTGTTTTTTAGATTGGGGAACGACAGAAGGTTCTGGTGACAGAAGAATCATTTGATTCCAAGTTTTATGTTGCTCATAATCGATTCTACGAACAGGTACCATTTTACAAATAGGAGAAATATGGTTCTTACTCCTTTTCTTTCCATACCTACTGTAATAATAAAGCAGACTTCCCTGACCTGATGAGCTCCAGATACTTTGAACTACAACTCCCATAATTCTCATGGACAATGGCCATGTTGGACGGCGTGACAGGAATTTTAATCTAACATACCCGGAAAACTTCACTTTCAAGAAAGCTGAAATAACATTTGCTATCAAGTTTGTATATATACTCACACATCATGAGACTGGTATTTATGGAATTATCCTCTGTTGGGCAGAAATACTCTATAACTAATTGTTTACTTTACATGTAGGTAAATGTTTATAAGAATAATTTGATATCTAAAGTCAAAGTGTCATTGCCTAACAAGCAGACATGTAAAAAATGTGTAACCATTTGGTAAAAAGAGATTACAGGAGCTGCTACATATAAATAAAACTGACTGAAATGTTCTCACAAAATTAATCAATGCATATAATAAATTCCTAAGAAGACACCTTGAATAGCCAGGAATAAAAACGGCACACATAAGGCAAATAAAATTGTAACCAAAATGTACACAGGGGTGACTGAAATTTGGATAGGACAGATTTTATGTTTACCTATCCCCCTCTCTGAATGTAAACCTAGGTTCTCTGTGTATTATTTTAAAGGTTCTCGTGCCAAAGAACCCTGAATTCATGGGTAAAATGGTGGAAGTGGACATTTTTGAAGCAGGGAAGCACTTTATGAGGGGGCAGCCAGTGTCAGATGCCAACGTGTTCACCCCATCCATCACTAGACCATTAGCCAAAGGAGAAGTTTCTGGCTTAACAGAGGTGAGTAAGAGACATTTTCAACTTTATGACTTCAGTGAAAGAGTATTTTGTATAAGCATAATGATGAAAAGCATGAATTCTGTTATTAGTTATAGTGCCTTGTTTCATATTTCTATAAGCCTTTAACCTCTTTTTTTAAATTAGAATTTTGCTAAAATGATGTTCTGGCTGTTACACATACCTGTGTGTCTATGCTTTCCAGAACCAGATGTCCTACTGATGTAATGTTATCAGTCCATTGAAAAATAAGGGAAAACAAAGAGAAGAAAAACATACAAACTCTCATCATTTTTATCCAATATTCTCTCCCCACCCCAGCCTATTGAGCACTTCAGAGGCAATATTTTAGTAGTTATCATTATGTGAGTTGTCGACACCTTTAATCCAACATCATGTGTTTCTATGCCGCTGACGTAGTGCAGAACACTCCTCTAAACGGTTTACAGCAACATACTGTAACTGTGACCCAACCACTCAACAGTAAATGTCTCAAATGAACAAACAATATGTGTGTATGTGTGCTTATATGTATAAAATATTAAAATGGATGCTGAATATGTCATTTCATCCAAATGTTCTGCCCCCACCTCCTTATTAACTTTGGCCAGGAATAGTAGATTGGAAACCAATCCAAAGAGGATTTTTTAAGCAGTCCCTCACAACCCTTGCTTTAGAGCAGGCTTGTCCAACCTGCGGCCCGAGGGCCGCATGCGGCCCAGGATGGCTCATAATGCGGCCCAGTGCAATTTTTTATTTTTAAAGAAATTCCAAAGTTTCAAGTTACACTGCCGGCACTTGCGGCCGGAATGCGGCTGGGGCACGTCACAACGGTGGGGGGGGGGAGAGGAAAGGAAGGAAGGAGCGGGAGGGAAGGGGAGAGGGGGGCTATGTGACTGCATTGCGCCATCCCCGTCAATAGGTGGACCCCCTCCAGGCCCCATAACGCCACCGGAGTTGAAGCTGGCAGCCTCTGTTGTTGGAGATCGCAGCTGCCGGTAAGCGCGCTTGGAGCGGGGCTGTGGAGGATGGCTAGGGCTGCCCCCCCATGCGGCCCAAACCAAATTTATGTGCGGCCCAAACCAAATTTTCATCTTCTAATATGGCCCAGGGAAGGTGAAAGGTTGGATACCCCTGCTTTAGAGATTGACAACTTTAGGTCTTTCATATAAAGACTGAATAATTATAATGAAGATAGATCTAGTCACCTATCTTAATTGGGTTTTACCAGCTCTTCACCTGATGATAACCAAAACATATCCGCTGAAATAAATAATTAGTAATCTCTACATGCTTTTTCTATAGCTTCAGCAATGTGACACTGAGAAATTTTGTGCATGAAGTGCTCAGCAGCATCACAGTATGGTGTCTTAAATTTGAATTTCCAGTGACAGCCACTAAAAGGGAGAATGGCCCAGCACAAGAGAGGTAATGGCTCAGGACCACAATCATTAGTGTTCCTTCACTTGAAGAACAAAGGACACTCATTTGATGACCAAGATGTACTCATTTTGGACTGAGAAGATGGATGGTTTGAGAGAGGGGTCAGGGAGGCCATACATGTGCATAAACAAAATCCCTCACTTAACAGGGGTGGAGGCCTTAGATACAATTTGTCTCCTATTTATCATGCTGCCCTTTCATCTGTCCCTAGAAGGATTAGGGCCATAAACACCAGAAAGACTACCGTTAATGACCTGTCAAGGACCCATGACAATGGGTGGAGAAGGACTGCAGAAGTGGGATTATCCCTCAGCCCTAGTCCTTTGTCCTTCTAAGAAGCCTATTCAGACCAGGGGAAAGTGAAACCAAGGTGGAGGATGTGTCAGGGATCTCCTACCAACTCTCCTCAGACTGAAGAAGCTGCTTGGATGAGTAGCGAAACATTTCAGCTTAACAAGAAAGAAGTCCAGTTACCATGACTCCACTTCCAGATCCACAATGTGTTGCTGTATGATCAGATAGCAGTCTAACTTCTTCGCTGGTTCTCTGTATTCATAGAAATTCTGCATAAGTATTAATAATATAAAATGCTCATCATGCTTTTCATAATTATTGCTATAGGCCTTTTCCACAAAGAATCGTTTGACTAATGTTTATTTAAATTTTATTTATCATAAATCTTGGAGTAAGAAGCATAGAAACCATAGAACATTTGTCCATCTGTTATAGCCTTCATTCCATAAATTTCATAAAGGCACAAACAAGTCTTTGTTTTGGCACTTCAATGTTAATTCCAAGTTAACAAACCCTTGCCTTGCATTAAGCATGGCTATTCATTGATACAAGTTAACAGCTTTATTAACATCAAGCAAGGTCTCATATATGAATAAAGTAATATCACCATATTTAAGAAACAGCCATTTTGCCAAAATTCTCAGTGCATTATTACATGGTACATTATTTCAATTTCATTTCATTGACTAGAACTGAAATTGTTTACTAATAACTGGCAAATATTTTCTATCTACCGTATTTGCCGGTGTATAAGGCAACTAGGCATATAAGACGGCCCCCCCAACATTCCCACTCAGAATGTAGAGTTTGTTATATACTTGCTGTATATGACTACCCCCTCATCCGCATGCGTGATTCTGCTTTGCCTGCATCATGGGGAGAGTTCCTTTTGCCCCTTTTGGTTCCTTTTCGGAGAGAGCCAGGGTTTGCTGGAAGAAGGAACAGCAGAGAGGCGGCAGCCATTTTGGAGAGGCGGCAGCCATTTTGAGAGGCAGCAGCCATGTGGTCGCATCTCAAAATGGCTGCCTCCTCTGTGCTGTTCCCGACAGTCAGCTGCTCGGCGCTAGAGTCAGGCTATTCCCAGGCTAGGAGCAGGGCTCTACTTGGCCTTACTACCAGGTAAGGGACTTCACTGGGAGAGAGGGAGGGTTTGCTGGACATGCACCTGGCGTACAAGACGACCCCCCCCCACTTGGAGGCATGTTTTTCAGGGCCAAAAAGTTATCTTGTACGCCGGCAAATACGGTACCTTCTTCTGAAATCCATGTTGAAATAGGTCTAACCTAGTTCTAGATCTTCAAGCATTATTCTCAGATTACAGTACTTGTGTGCTAGGGTTATCTTTCAGTCTACCCAACTGATGAGTTTTGCATATGTCCAGCTGTGATCCTGTGCATATTGAGTGCATATTTTTCCTTCCTTCCTTCCTTCCTTCCTTCATTCCTTCCTTCCTTCCTTCATCTTATCTTATCTTATCTTATCTTATCTTATCTTATCTTATCTTATCTTATCTTATCTTATCTTATCTTATCTTATCTTATCTTATCTTATCTTATCTTATCTTATCTTATCTTATCTTATCTTATCTTATCTTATCTTATCTTATCTTATCTTATCGTTAGCTATGATGTTGAAGTAGGCTTATTCCCAGATGAGTGAAGATAGCGTTCTAGGCCAAGGCTAGACCTAAGAGGTCTTGGCACCCAGAAAGTGCTTTGCTTCCCCTCAGTTCATAATAATCAATTATTCTGATATTCTGGAAGAACAGTAAGTGGCCTCTTGCCCAGAGTATTGCTTATGCATTTGGGTGATCATTTGTTGTGGCTCAATCATTTCTTTCAGAATGCTCCATGGCTTTCATGATTCACACAGTCAATAGGTTCTACTGTCGTGGTCCCCAACCTTTTTTACCCAGTGGACTGGGTGGGGAAGGTGGTGCGTGCACACACCCCATGCTTGTGAGCATGCATGAAGGAGTGGGTGCGCTCTTCTGCGGTCACATACACAAAGGAGCAGGAGGGAGCTCATTGCAGGTGCGTGGGCAATTATGAGTATGCATGAAGGTCAGCGCAGCACTCGGGGGCACTCGTGAGCATGTGCAAAGGGGTGGGAGAGCACAGGAGCAGGTACGCATGTGCATGTGCAAAAGGGCTGAGGGGTGAGTGTGTGCGGGGGTGGGGGAGGTCTGTCTCTGCAGCCCATTCCAACTCAGGCCACAGACCGGCACCAGTCTGTGGACCGGGGGTTGGGGACCTCTGCTGTACTGCACAAACTGGTTTTCTTCTCAGATTCTTTCGTGTGCTCCAGCATTCACCAATTTGTAAGATGATCTTTAGTTCTCTTCTGAATTTAGCTTGAAACTCTGGAATTACCCATGCCATAAATTCTCCATGTTATAAAATCTGAAATACAACTTTGCTAGCATGGGAAAGGGGATGTGGTGGTGCTGCGGGTTAAACCGCAGAAGCCTCTGTGCTGCAAGGTCAGAAGACCTGCAGTCGTAAGATTGAATCCATGAGCCCCCGTCACTTCTCCCAGCTCCCGCCAATCTAGTGGTTCAAAAGCATGCAAAATGCAAGTAGATCAATAGGTACCACCATGGTGGGAAGGTAACAGCATTCCATGTCTAGACATGAAATGGCGTTCCATGTCTAGTGACCACAGAAGATTGTCTTCGGACAAACGCTAGCTCTATGGGTTGGAAACGGAGATGAGCACCGCCCCCTAGAGTTGGACACGACTGGACAAATTGTCAAGGGGAACCTTTACCTTTACCTTTTAGCATGGGAAATTAATATGATAATTCTATATTTATTTCAGTTTTTCATATCTCCTTTCCTTGGGATTGAAATGTATACTAAACATTTCCAAGTTATAGGTTATTGTTTTGTTTTTTATATTTCTTTCCATAATATAATTAAGATTTGGATAGAGCGATTTAGTTACCCATTTATTAATGGGGAAAAGAAGTAATTCCAAGAAACTATATGTGGCTAGTTATATCCAAGCTCAAGTGTGGAGTAATTGAATAAGGAATTTGGAATATTTTGGTAAGACCAGAGGCCAAGGAAGCAAGCAAAACTGGTCAATTCGGGGAACAAATCAAAGAAATGGAATAGAGGAAGAAGGAGGGAGGAAAGGACAAACAAAGCAAGTAGCTTCAGGAAATCAGGACATAAGAAGTTGCTGTGAATTAGCACCAAGCATGAAATGTTGACCAGCCTTCTTGCAGCCTCTTCCTGTGTTCTTCAATGAACGCTGGTGGA